CAGAGGCCTCTGCAGGCCCTGGCCTCAGGCTCCTGGGATGTGTGCAGCAGGTGGAGGGTTAGCTGTCTCAGCTCAGCCTCCCTGATGCTGCACATATTATTTCTAGCATCGGCCACTGAGAAAGAGCTGGTGGGCATCGTGGGGGGACAAAATGCTCCCCTGGGAAAGTGGCCCTGGCAGGTCAGCCTGAAGGTGTACAACTACCATTTGTCAGCCTGGGTGCACAGATGTGGTGGCTCCCTCATCGATTCGAAGTGGGTGCTGACTGCTGCCCACTGCATTCACCAGTGAGTATTGCTCCTGCTGTCCAGTTCTGTGTGGAATGTGGGGTGAATGGAGGAGATGTGGGTGAGGGTTTGGGGACTGGAGACTCAATCTCTGAACCCTGGGGTTACTGCTCAGAAGTTCTGAGCCTCCCCCATGGTGCTCAGTGAGGGCCCAGTAGTGAGCTGTTGTTGGGGCTTCTTTCTGACCACAGTAGAAATGCAGACCCGTCAACCTACCGCATCCTGGCTGGGGACGTGTACCTGTATGGGCACCAGAAGCTCTTGAGTGTCAGCCAGATAATTTTTCACCCAGACTTCGTTTCTTTTCATCTTGGTGTGGATGTGGTACTTCTGAAATTGGCAGAACCAGCGGATTGCTCTGATAATGTGAAGCCAATCAAACTCCCCTCCTCAAATCTTGTGGAATCAGAGAAGAATCAGTGTTGGGTGACAGGATGGGGCACTGTCTTTGGGTACGGTATGTATTGATGTGTGCTGGGAAGCATATGAATTTTGGAACCAAACTGGCCATGAAGCACTGTGATGATGTGCAGAGATCCAGAAAGGAAAGATGGAGGTACTGATCAATTCCCTATAATCTTAGTTGTACTAATAGTGATCTCTCCAGAGCCTCAGAAGCTGAGGATGAGGCATGCCTGGATGAGGCACAACTCTGTTCTTCAAAAGGTTTCATCTTATATATTATTTTCTATGATTTTAAAAAAGCATTTGGCAAACACCAAAAGGTATGCCTCCTTTCTTTCCCTAGTCCTTCTACTTGCAGGTGGAGGCATTCATGGGTAGAGTGGTAAAATTATTGGGAGACAAGGGCCATTACATTTAAGGGTCCCACCAGTATGTTTTCTGAGGGGAAGCTAATGGTCAGGGTTAGATGTGACCTGCACATGATAGGAACTGCCCTCAGGCCATAGCCTCACAGCCCCCAAGATTAGGACATTTGGGGTCTGGGACAAGTGGCATCTATTGCCACCAGCAACTTTGCCAGCTCCTGTTCTTCCTGTTCTCAGAATCGCTGCCTCCTCCCTACCGTCTTCAGGAAGTGAGTGTGAACGTGGTGAGGAACTCAGTTTGTGAAGAGTTGTACCACAATGCCACATTCCACTACTTTAAGGACAGGAAGTTGATCCTGGACGACATGCTATGTGCTGGTAGCGTGGGCCACGGGACTTGCTATGTGAGTCCCATCTTGCCATGTCCCCTTCTGCCTTAATCATCTCAGCTTCAAGACTAGTATTCATCAAGTCCTCTCATCCCCAGGGTGACTCCGGTGGCCCCCTTGTCTGCAAGGACTCAGGTTCCTGGACCTTGGTGGGAGTGGTCAGCTGGGGCTACCGCTGTGGCTGGGCTATTGTTCCCAGTGTCTTTGCTCGTGTTTATTCCTACGTTCCCTGGATCAAGCAGCACACTCAGAATTCCTCCTGAGCTCAGTCTACTGGCCTCCCTGGTTACCCAAGGAGGAGCCTGCTGCCCTCCTCCCAGAGCCTGGGTCTGCTGCTTCTGCGCCTGCCTGACCCGAGACTCACCTTCTCCTCTGGTCTCCTCGGAGCCCTGAACTTCCATGAACACTCACAGGCTGAGGTCCCATGCCGGCTCTTGCTGTCTGTTCCTGATGGGAGGTCACAAGGTGTGTGGGGCAGGGGCTTGAGCTGCATGGCACTGATGCCCCAGTTTGCCAAATACCCAGTTGTTGGAGGACACCTGGCATATTTCTGCTTTCTGCCTATCCTGAATAAAGATGCTATGAGCCATCCTGCTGAGTTTTGTGTGTGTAAAAATCATGCTTTCTCTTGATAGAAAAACCCCATGACTGCCATTTCAGTGCCTCTTTCCACATGAGGAACGAAGGCCTTAACCCTCCACAGTTGGTGCTCATGTGAGCCCCAGTCTGCATGCGGTAATTCTGTCTCTGTGTCTCACATCCTGTCCTGTAACCTGGGATTCAGGAACAGTTGTCAGGTTTATATCTTGTCAACCTGTTCCCTCAAGGACAGAGACCCCCACATATGTCCTGGACCCAGATCTAGTTATGTTGCTCTGGAAAGGGCCTGCTAGCCAGAGCCCACCTTAGCCACCTGCCTATCTCCTGGAAGGCTCAGTTCTCCAGCCCAGACCACCAGAGGGACAATGCTGCAGATGGGAATCCAAGAACCAGGGCCTGGAGGTTGCTCCCAGCCCTGGTGATACTGGCCATGGATAGATGTCTGTGGTTGACATGGGCAAGGTTAGGGAATGCCTGCTGTCCCTGGAATAGGCCCTGTGCTGTGTTCTTTTTTGGTGGGCTGAGCTGTGCCCATATTTTTCTGTCACTCAAGTGGGGCTCCTGTGATATTGCTCTGACTCTCTGGGAGAAAGGCCTGAGTCCTCAGATTCCATCTGCCTGGGTCCCCAGGGCCTCAGGAGGAGCGGTGCAGCCCAGTCATCTGGCTGGGATATAGGTACCAGTGGTCTAGTCTCTCACCTCAAGGTCCCTCTAATCATCTAGCTCACTAGCTGTCCTTTCTGCCAGTAGTGTCCAGGGAGCTAGGTAGTGTTGACAGTAACCAAGTTCAATTTTGTTGAGTCTTATGCTCTCGTTCAAAAGCCACAAGCCAACTTATATTCTTTCATGTGTGCTTTTAAAAAAATAAAACTAGGGGACCATGGAGATGGCTCAGTGGTCTAAGAGCCTGCCTAGGCAAGCAGAAGAACTCAGTTCCTATCCCCCGTACCACATGCCCCGGCAGCCCTGCCCTAGGCACGCTGAGTGGGCCACCACGACTGTGTGCCGCCATGCCTGTAACCCCAGGGGCAAGGAGGCAGAAATGGGAGGATCATTATGAGTCTGAACTGCGTAGTGAGACCCTGTACCAATACATAAAATTAAAAAATAAAAAAGAAATAAAACTAGGAATTGTACCCATAACTTTGCATTGAGCTGCATTTTTTAAAAAGACATTTTTAAAGAACAGTTTTCATTTAAGTTGCTAAGCTGCCCAGGCTAGGTTGGAATTGCCTCAGCCTCCCAGAATGTTGGTAACACAGGGGTGCACCATTGCTCTTGGGTCGCTCTTTCAAGGATCTTTTGTTGTTCTCCTGCCCATCTCCTTTGGAGTGGTGTGCTGAGGAATGCATGTGAATGGTTCAGTCAGTGGTCTGTGTGCAGGGTGTAGAGGGGGCAGGGCTGATGGCAGAAGCCAGCAGGAAAATCTGAACCCCTTGCTCCTCCACGCCCCAAAGGTGGACAAGAAGGTGACGACGCACTTCCAGGATCCACGCACAGGGGCCGTACCGTCCAGTTGGACTTCGCTTACATAAACGCAAACCAGGAATTCCATGATAGTGAGGGAGGGGTTGGACAAGCAGAGCTGGCGGCTCACCAGTGCCCAGCAGTCCATCCTGTCCACCCCTCATGCCCCACACCCTGCTGTCCCTCCCCCCACCTGCCTGGTGCACTACTTGGGGACGTTATTGATTGGTGGGAATTGAGAAAGAGGCTGGCTGTAATTGGTTGGGGCTCATCGTGTTCCCGGGGTGTCGCCCGCAGCACTCCCAGACTGAATGAGGTCTGTAGTAATGGAGGGCTTTGGGCTAAGAGTCCAAAGTTGCATCTCAGGTGGCTCTGGGCTATCACTACCGCTTTCCCTGTGGTCTTCCAGGAGACGTAGACCAGGAAAACAGAGGAGGAGAAGGGCTAGAGCCAGGCAGGGGCCTCTGTCCCCTTGTGGTCAGCCCGCTGCCAAAGCCAGCCCTGGACCACCACTGTCCTTAGTTCTGTGGTGTTTCTGACTTCCCTCACATATGTGCAACTGTCTGTGGCACTTCCGGTGTGGCCGGGCATTAGTCCACGGAATGAATCCACAATTTAATGATCCACTCGCAAATTGATGGACTTTTGTGTTGTTTCCAGTTTGGACTCCTATAAATAAAGCTTCTTGTAGCCACATATTTTTATTTATCTTTGATAAACAGTGAATAGAAATGCAGAGTTCTATAGTGTGTTTAAATACAGGAGAAGCTTCCAAGTCTGTACTAAAGTATGGTTGTCACAGATTCAGAGATGTGTGGGCTTCAGGTCTTGTCCTGTGGGCTCTCACCATCCTGGTGCAGGAATTCTAGCAGCGATGTGGGCATTTCACTGTATTTGTAATTCACTTTTTTGTGTAAAGGTACTGAGCACCTCACTATGAGTTAGTATGTTCTCTTCATCTGTTTTCTTTGGTGAATGTGTGAATACCTTCCTACATCTTTTCTTTGCTTCATGTTTTCTGTATGTACACCTGCAATTAAACTACTTTAAACTGATAAATGTAGAAATGAGACAGCACACACAGAACATGAGGATCAAGATAAAGGAGGAGGATGTGGGACAAAAAGCAATTGGAAGAGCCAGACTTTTTTCAATTCAGAAAACATTCTAGCAAGAGGCTTTGGGCCCTGTCTGCTTATAGTAGGGACAGTACTGTCTACCCTAGCTTGGGACTGCTGGGGTGGGGTGATGTAGGGACATATACATACTGACAGGGCAGGAAGGAGAGGAGAAGGCTAGGGACTCACATGCACATCAATAGGGAAATATTATCTCCCTTTGTTCTTTTCTTTATTTTTTTATTTTAGGGAAAGGTCTATACGGTATTCAGGGTCTCACTACTAGATTGGACTCATAATGATTCACCTGTTTACAGCCTCCCAAGAGCGAGGATTATAGGAGCACGCCACCATGCCCAGTCTCAATTGCCATCTCAGCATGCCCTGGGGGTGGGGCCTGCACAACAGGTCCAGGGATGGAACACCTGGCCCCTGTGCCTGTGCTTTAATCCGCTGAGCTATTTGGCTGGCCCACCTCCCTTTGTTCTTGTGAATACCAGGCCCATATGACAAATGGCTGGTTCAAAGACACAGATCACAGCAAGGCAGGATGGGATCTAGAGGTCCTAACTACAATCTCAAACCTTTTTTCCCTATATGGTGGGGTTGGGATCTGCCACCCCTTCCATGAGGCTATCTTCCATTTCTGGGGACATCCTCCTCCACATCCTTCTGGAGCCCATGCTTTGGATTTCCTCTGGAAGATCATAAAGTGAGACTCAGACAGCTTGGGGGAGATAGCTCAAAAGTTCATGATGGGCCAAGCATGTTGGTGCATGCCTGTCATACTTGCACTCGGGAGGCTGAGGCAAGAGGATCACAAGTTCAAGGCCAGCCTGGGCTACAAAGTTCAAGCTCAGCCTGAACTTCACAGTAAAACCCTTTTCAAAAAGATACTCAAGAAGTTCATGATGACCCATGCTCTGTAATGTCCCTGCTTCATTTCCAACCTCAGATCTCACAATCTGTAGCACAAGTCAGAGCCATCTGTTCAAGGTTTCCTGTCTTCTGGGACCTATTAATCAAGCTGATTAGGAGCCTTGAGAAGAGCCCAAGACTTTTCCTAGATCCAAATATAGGCTGATCTTGCAGGTTCCCACTGAGACCCTCTGGTCAGAGATTTACTTTAGATGTGAGGAATAGGCTCATCCTGGTGGGTTTTCAGGTCAACCTTGCTTGATACCTTTAGGTGCTAAGGTATCAAGCAAGGTTGACCTGAAAACCTACCAGGATGAGCCTATATGGGCAAAGTTAGTCTCCTTCATGCCAGCAGCACCTGGGCAGTAGCTATAGCTCAGCAGTGTATACTAAAATTTTGACCTGATGCCACATGAGTATGGCATAAGCACCCTTTCCCTATGTGTGACACTTGGGCTCTATATGTATGAAGCAAGACCCTTCCTCCCTCCCTCAGATATCTGTTCCTGGGATATGCTGATGAGGGAAGGAGGGACCCAGCCAGTTACCCAGCACAAGGCCAGTGGGGTGGGACCCCAGGTTTCCCCACCCCATGCCACTCTTATCTGGGACCCAGGAGCCTGATGTCACTAATAGGGTGTGTTAGGGGCAGGTCCTAACATCCTAGGGTATTCATTCATGTATTTCCATGGGGGGAACCTCAGAACTATTTGCCTGAAGCCCTGGAGACCCCATCTTTCTACTTGCACCCAGTCATCTGGCTCCCTACAGAGCCCTGGACACCTCCTGGATCCCAAGCCTATTGTCAGAAAAGACACTCTAGGCCATCCCATTCAGCTCCCTGGGAAACCTTGTGATTGGTGCCTTTTGGTCCCCACCAGGATTGAGGGTCTGGGCTGGTGCTCACTTATGCCTGTGAATAGAGCTGGGATTAGAGAGGCTAGGTGCTTCAGGGAACCCCCACTGCACCCTTAGCCCACCCAGCTTTGGGTCTCAGACCTGTAGCACTGGGACTCTGGGTTCCCACTCCTCTACTCTATCCAGAACACCACTGTACAGGTGTGAGTCTGATAGCTGGCAGGAGGAACTTCTAGAAGGTGGGTTAGTGTGAAGGAGGGAAGAGAGATAATTTATAGGCTTTACCAAATGTCTGTGCTTTGAATATGTTAGAAGTAGGCTCTCACTGAACTCCAAACAGAATGGGGAATCTGATGATGCAGAGCCCATCCTGGCTCCTGATGTTTCTTTGTCCCCACCCTTTGGCCAGCTGTAAGGACAAAAATGGGGGAGGAGAAAAGCTTGAAAAACACAGAAGGCTCTATGTCCACTGTTTAGGAGCCTGGCTTGACATCAAAGTCAGTTCTGGAATGGTGATGGGATTAAAGAATGCAAGTACTTCCATAATAACTAAGATTTTAATCTAAAAATAGATACCTCTGACTCAGCCAAGATGCTGGAGGAGACCCA